GATATGTAGGGCACTGGTTCTTTGACCAATGCAGCTTTAAACAAAGCTCAAATCAAACCAACCTGTGAAGAACCTACCTGCTCAGGTCTCATACATGCAGTGATTTAACTGGTCTAGGCTGTGCAATGTGATGTTCCAATGTTTATTTGTACATACCAGGCTTCACATACTAAATGAGAGATTACTGATGTCAAAGACATGCCAGACCAAACAGAAATGTCAGCAATTCAATATGTGGCCAAGAATGTCCCATACTTCTTAAGTGGTTGGGAATTCCAAAGCCAGATCAAAGAAGGGGGCCTGTTTCATCAACTACCACTGATTTCTGAAATGAGGGAATGCTTCTTCATATGATTAATCAGTAGTGGTGATACAGTGACACCAGTGTGAGGATACATGGTTGCCAAAAGGGCTCACAATGTTGGATGCAATTTGGTTATAGTAACAGCTTTGAGTTCACCACTGCAGTCAGGATGCATGGAACCTGAACATGGGTCATCACTTGTCCTCTAAACATATCAATTGATAAGTCATCAGCAAGGTTTTGGCAGTGCACCCTCCTGTTGGATCAGTGATTTTATGTGGATGGAAATCTCCACATCAGTGGCATCTAGATGTTTTGAATGGACCAGTCTAAGCATCAACATTCATTAGATCACTTGCATCACATGCTGACTGTTTTATTTCATGTAAGTGAGTGAGATTGTCCCTTGTCCAGAGTGCTGTTCCGGACATGGGATGCACCCTGAACCCTGTGTCTGACACTGAGCTTAGATGGCCACTCTAGCAAACCACGGTACCGGTGGCGCGTGGCGAGCTCGAAACACGGCCTTCAATGGCGATGGAAGCGAGTTTATTGTATCATAATCAATATGCTGCAGTAAGTAAAGTGTTTTTGAAAGTGCTTTTATGGAATGCATAGTGGGTGATAAGCAAAGGCTAGGGTCCAGGTAAATTTCAGCTCAAGAGCATGCTGTATGTATGGCAGCACAGAAATCAAGTGTTTGCAAGCGAATGCTAGTGCTGCAAACATTTGCAATCGCATTGCTCACTTCCAGCCATATGGAACGTGACCGTATCGCGAGAGGTTTGTTTTCTGATGTTCCCTTGGTCACACGTGGTCGAGTACCATCTGGTCACGCCTGGTCACACCTGGTCTGATGTTGAACCACCTCCAGGCCACACCTGGTCTAGTACCATCTGGTCACACCTGATCACACCTAGTCTGATGTTCCCTCCTGGAACCTTATCCGGCCCACTCGTGGTCCAGTGTTTAAGTGAAAGCGCCCCGGCCAATGCAGCCCCAAAGAACGTCCAAGACTCCACGATGGTGGCAAAGCACGTCACAACCGTGTATTCTAGAGTGGAGTCGACAGAGAGGAGATTACGGCACGGTGTCATTTACGCCGTATTATATGCAGTTTAACTTCTTGCTGGGACTGTAACCACTGCTCGATAACTGCCATTCCAGTTAAACCAACATGGCGGCTGACATTTCTAGCTGTGCAGGACCGCTAAGAGATCTTTTCGTGGCGCTCAGTGCCACATCGCGACCACACAGAGCCCTAAACCAGGACCATCTCATCTGGCCAGCGTCCAGTCGCCTTTTGTAGGCCGGCCAAGCCCCATACTGGCCGCTTTCTGGGTTTTGCACCAGCGCTGGTTAATCACAGGCTCGACATTTTTCCGCTGGCCTCGGCGATGCCAATCTGTAGTGTCGGCAGATATTGCGTCATGCTCGAGCCTTGGCCTTCTCAGTAGCACTTCCTCGTCTGTCCACGGCCGGCGACGTGCTATTAGTCATTCCTCGAAGCTGAATTAGTGTTGTGTGGAAAGGGTGGCTGCCCAGGTGACGCCCGAGGGGCGTGGCACACGTAGGGCGCCTGCTGGCAGTCCTAGCGCCGGTATCGCCCGCCAGGCCGGCTGCTGTTCAGGGACCTAAAACAACATTACATCCCAAACACAAGCTCTCTCTGAACAGTTCCTGAACGGATGTGCTGTCTGCGCGTTCACGTGTTGGTCGGCGTTCTCCGCGCCGTGTTGACGTACAGAGTGTCGGTACCGGTGGTCTCGCCCTTGGTCTCCGGATGGCCACGACTCGCGCTCGTATTGGGCGGTGGTCCGTGTCCCCAGTCGTGCAATTGTGCTGTCGGGCATCATTGATTAGCCAGTGGCGAAGCGTGTCTGGACGCTTGGCGAGCCATGCACATGTGATCATGGCCACTTGCCTGATAGACAAATGAGTCAACCTGTTTTTATGCTGTTAATTCACAACACTAGTTGAGGTCATCCTCATATGTCGGCTGCCAGCGAACGTGTCACGTTGCCGGGATGGGCGTTTTGTTTGTCAGGACAAAGGATTAGCTGTGGCGACACGAACATTTGCTTTCTGCTGATTGTTGAAAATCGCCCATGCTTGTTTCCCTGCAATCGGCAAGTCTGCGAAACACTGTTCGATCAGACCAAAGTAATATTTATCAGGCAAATGAGCTTGATAGGCTATGAATGGTCATGACCCTGGACCATGTGCTTCACGCTGAAAGGTAGTTTCCTGGAAGCGATCTAGTTTAATGATGCACTTGTCAACGTTGAAGCGGGAACACACGGCATCAGACGCGGCGGCGTACCAGACTATAAGTTCGGTCTCACCGTATGTTATCATTTAACGTCAAGTGGGGTGAATATGCATAGCAATGCATTGCAACAGTAGTAACACGCTAATCCCATCCAAGGCCTAAATAGTAAATATTTCTGCCAAAATATTTTGACCTAATAAAGTAAGCTTGTTCGCCGCTTTAATCATATGGGCCAGATGTATGTTGGTTTGGTTTGGATGGTTTTGATTCACTCCGATTTGATGCACGAGCCGGAGGTGTTTCGGGAGGTCAGGTCGAGATCACAGAATAGATAATACTGCGATTATCCCTGCGTGCTTCAAAGGGAAAGAAACAGATCTGGAGCGGGCCCTGGGATAATTGAGGCTAGCAAAATGGTTTCCTGAGATTGTGGGAATGTGATCACATTTGAGCCTGACATTCTGATGAGACGGCGTGACACGTGCTGTGGAGCACGTGCTGTCGGCTCACGCGCGAACATCAGCAGCATCTGGCGCGCCGGCAGACCTGCTGCTGTACCGCCGCCCGGTGCGCGTGTACGGGCCGACGATGGCTCGCCGGCCGTCCAGTCGCGGCCCCGATCGACACCTACCTGGACACGCTGGGCCTGTACCGGCTCAAGGTGCCGCCGCAGGAGCCGCTCTTTCCGCATCGTGGCCGAACAGTTGAAGCGCTGCCCCGCATTGTGACGATGTTCTCCTTTTGTGTGCGGTACGGCGGGGTACGCGGAGTGTGGCGCGTGTTGTAATCGCAGCCGGCGTGTGAAGAACGACACGTGAGGAGGGGCTTTTCACAATGGATGACAATTGGTCAGTCACACGAGCAGTGTGCTGAGTCGCGGCCCTCGTTCTCTGAGCACCGGTTACGTGTTTTCAGCTGTGTTTTACGCAAACGGAGTATCCCAAGTTTAAGCGGATGACGTGTCAGCGACTTCTGTTGAAGCAGGAAGAGTATGCTCAGGTAAGATGGCCACCCCTTCCGTCATGAGTACGTTAAGGCCTGCTGTGTATCCATAGTGGTTTCCTGGATGTCGCTGGTGGCCAGAAAGTTGTCTCCGGTTTTGTATTTTGAGTGTCCACTGCTAGTGATACTGTTGGGGGTTTAGGGATAGCATGGGGTATGCAGCTGCCGGTCGATCCATCTGATCTGCGTCTTGGCCTCTGCCCCTTGCATTTGCCGTCCCAGCGGCGATAGTTGCTCTTGTCTTTCAAATAACTGTTTGTGTTTTCTTTCATTCTATTCATCCGAATGTTGTGGGGTGATTCGGTGCGTTGCAGATCATCCTGTCCTTGTTAGTCTGTCTGCGGTGAGCCGAGGTCTAAGTGAGATATTACTGTGGCTGCAGTGTTTTTGGCGTCTGACTGTCAGAGGCCACACCCTCTCCCTCACCGCTTCCTCATCACGCTGCTGCGGTAGGAGACTGGGCCGTGAGCCGCGACCGCCACACATCGTGCCATGTGGATATGTCGTACGCTGCACCGTCTCCCGACCGGAAGCCGGCGCAGGCCATGCTCGGATGGGGTCCAGGGGGTGCCGTGCCGGCCTGGCGCTGACTCTTGTGCTCGGCGGCCGGCAGTACACGTCGGAGCCGATGTCGGAGCACGTGGTGAAGCTGCAGGAGGGCCGCCTGACGGCCGGCCTGGTCGAGATGATGGCGCTGGCTGACATCACCAGGTGCGGCGCTGTGACTTCACGGCCGCTGGGGTGGACACGGTGACATCACGGCCGGTGGGGGAGGGACTTGTGACGTCACAGCCGGTCACTTGGGCCGTCACGGCCGGTGACTTGCTGCCGTCACGACCGGTGGAGGAGTGACTTGGTGACGGCTCGCCGGAGGTGCCCTCTCTCCCTCTAACGTCTCGTCGGATGGGGCTAGGTCAAGCGGGGGCCCGGCCATCGGGACGTGCCCAGCAGGTCATCGACACGGGCGGGAGAGCGGTCGGCACGCGTGTGCGGCCGGTTAGTCACGGCCGCAGCTGTCGGGCCCGACACTGTCGTCACAGTTGTGTCGCCTAGCGGGCGGGGCGAGCCACGGCGCTGGCGTGGGGTGTGACGGCGCGCCGCCCGGCTGTCTGCCGCCAGGTACGACTTCTGGGTGTACAAGGACATCGACCAGCCGCCGACCAATGTGACCAACCGCGGCTTTCAGCCGGTGGGATCCAGGTGGCCGGCGGGGATTCGAGCCACTACGATCTGGTCATCAGCAAACAGGAGGCCACCGACCGAGCCATGGGGCAGTGGTGAGCGCACGCAGGCGGCCGCTGCTGCAGCGGCTGGGCATTGTCTGGGGCAGTGCGGCAGGAGAGCTGCGAGGGCGGTGGATAGTGAGTCGTCGTATGTGTAGAGGCGGGGTAACTCAGTGCCGGAGGAAGCGGGCCTTTTTACCGTCCCTGCTTTCACTGCTTGTGAACCGTTTATCATTCAGATATTCAGGCTCTTCCGAAATATGTACTGTCCTTAGCCTCTTTGGAATGTATTTACTTCAGTTTCAGATCAGGGTTGTGCATTGTGTCCTCGTTTGGCAAGTAACCTTTTTGTTTCGTACAGCGATGCTGTACCACACGCTGTACACATCGGTGTACAATCTCCAAAACGTGGAGCACGCGGTGGACAAGATGCTGTACGACAAGGAGTACGCCCGCACGCGCAAGGAGAGCCTGTGCAGCCAGGATGGCACGCTTGCCGCCATGATCGGCAAGATGGCCGACTCGCCGGAGCACGAGAGCTCGAGCGGGTCAGTGCAGCGGCGGGCTGAGGCGTGGGGCCTGGGGAAGGAGGCGACTGGGAGCGACTGCAGTGTCGTCCCTCCCTGCACCATTATGTCGGCTGTTTAGAGGACCAAAACCTGTAATCGACAGTGTTGTTGCAGGCTGTGTGCTTGCTATCGCAGCCGGCGGATTTACCGCATTAATCACGCCCGCGGTCAGATGCTGGCGGTTCGACAGCATTTGGCTCATTTAAGCTATTTACGACACACTTTCCCAGCAAGCGGTCGCGGCACGCCGCGGCTGCACTGCGTCCGTGTCCATGTATTTTAACGACTTCGTCCTTGGTAATGTTTGAGTACGTCGTGGCCACAGTCTGACGGGGTTTGTGTCTCGGAGTCCGAGCACGTACACCTGATTCCGATTGACAATCCGAGGCTGCTTCGCCTCTTCAGGGATGTGCTTTTCACCAAGGAAGCAGAACTTCAACACGGCAATACCGCGACGGAATCTCTTAACACTAAAAACAGTGGGGCGTCATACAAACCCTCAGCGTACTACAAACTGTGTAAAACAAATTCTACAGATGTAACGCCGCGATACACGCGCCTGCGCGACCCCAGGTGGGCGTGGGGGCCGCCGTGTGACGAGCCGGACCGCCGCAGGAGCGCTGGCCTGTACGCCACCTCCGACGAGGAGCCCTGTGACGTGATGGACATCCTCGACCGCAACATGGTGCCGTTCCCGTACAAGACGGCCAAGGCGCTGGACGGCACGCACTACCGCAACCTGCCGCAGGACGTCTGGACGGAGCTCGTCAAAGGTCAGACGAACGGCCGGCAGGGCCGCTGGCCGGTCGGTGACGGGCCAGGGCTCGTGGCGCGGTCACCGGGGATGGCTCGCGCCCTGTGGCACGCAGTGCGAGATCTGCGAGTTCGACAGATGCTCGGACTGCATGGGGACTGTCTGTTCTGACTGACTGGCTGGACTGACCTCGCCTGTTTGAGATTGTCGGTCGGTCCTCGGTTTTGTGCCGTGGAGAATCTGCTGCCTTTCTACTGATGTGATCACTATAAACCTGTTCATCAGCGGTAATGGCTGGTCGGCTCAAGCTATCCTTTCCGCTGCCCAGCTCGGAGTGATCAGATGTCGCGAACTTTAACATGAGTGCAATCCACTCCCATGTTGAGTGCGCGGACGTCGGCGCCGGGAAGTGCCGTCGGGCGTGACTGACCGCAGTCCGGCGGCGGTCGTGACGCCGTCTGACCTCCCCCCTCCCCCCTCCCTGCGCTGTCCCCCAGAGCGGCGGCGCGAGCAGCAGCGGCCCGACTGTAACGGCTTCCTGGCGGGCATCAAGTGCCTGGTGGAGCTGGGGCCGGTGCTGGGCGCCGCCGAGCTGTCGCAGCTGGAGTCGGAGGCGCGGCCCGAGCACCGCCACCTCTCCGAGACGGGCTCCAACCTGTACGTGGCGCACATCCAGGAGATGGCGCCCAACCAGGGGCCCGTCTGCTGCTACGTCGAGCCGCTCGGCAAAAAGTACGTCACGCGCCGGGTGGTGGAGCTGAGGCGCCAAGTGGGCAAGGCGATCGTGGGCGCGGGGGACCTTTTGGCCTACGCATGGTTGGCGTTGCACCTGACAGCCTTGCGGATCACCGGGCAGACTGTTCCGTTTGACCGTCGCTTCCCGTCGCTGAGATTTATCCGCAGTCGTGCGTGTATGAGGCCGTGTACCGTGTCCTGCTCTCCGGCCGTGAGGCCGCGTGCCGTGTCTGTTTGGACTCGCGTTGGCATGTTACGTGATCATCCATGCGTGCCGTGATGGCCATGTAGCATTGATCAAAACGTTCGCGAAGTGGTTGTTCGCCAAGACGATGTCGCACATGTGCTGGGCCTCCTTCAGATTGTTTCTTTATAGAGTTGTCCTGGTGCCCGCCGACCGCATTGCCGCCACGCTTCAGCAACATCATTTCATGGATGGTTGGGAGCGCGGGAGTATACTTTCCTACTCATTTGGGTGGATCTCAGCCCCTTCCTTAACTTTGGGAAGGAATTGGGTCAAATCCGGGAAGGAAACTGGTGTAAATTTTGGGGGTAGGTTTGGTTAACTTTTACTGTTCACCCCCTCCCCCCTCGCAACTCATCTTGCGAAACTACACCCGTGCATTAGCGTGCCGGCCGCCCAGCGCCTGCTGCGAGCCACCCTCCCGTGTTGTTCCGTGCAAACGTGTGGCGGCCGGTGTGTGACCTGTGGGCGGCCGTTTGCAGGCTGACCGTGCCGTACGACAGTCTGCGGCCGCTCTGTTCCACACCGGTTGCCGTGCCCGGTGTCGCCGTCGCCGGCGGGAGCGCGCGCCAGAACTCCCGGTATGTGGGCCGACCCCATCCCGCCGACCCGCCTGACAGTGGCAGTCCGGCTCCCTTGCAATGCCCTGAGTACCATGTATGTCTTTTTCTGGACATTGTCAAACTGTTAAGGCGACTGATTAATGATTTCGTCCATTAGCAGTTCATGCATGGTGTGTGCATTGCTTCGTGAGTAATGTATGCACTGTGACGTTCACCATTATTGCATGGTTCAGTCGTAAGTATAGTCGTGTTTTGCTTTTTTACTCAATTATTACACAGTCAATTCATATCCCTTGTATTTGTGTATGCAATATTTATTCGTGACTCCTCATACATTCAGTGGTGTCTGGATGATTTCCATACCTTATTTATTTATCATTTATCAATCACTTACTTTTTTCAGTCATTCCTATTCGTTCCATTCATTCGTCATCCATTCATTCATACATCCATTCATTCATTCACTTCACTCACCCACCCATTCATCCATCCATCGAAAGAACTCTGGCGGGTTAACATATGGGGTCCCCGGCCATAGCGTTTAGAGCCTTGTGTGCGAATGGGAAGAATTCGTTCCAAGCACCTGCAAAGCAATGAAGGGCAAGCTGGAAGACTCCTTGCGCTCGAATTGCCCCGCAAGTGGATATATGGAGCCCCCGGTAACAGCCAAGGGCCGTGGGATAGCTCGTAATGAGTCTTGATATTTGCAATCACCACCCGCTCACTCAGCGAATTATTATTTTTGTCTACTCATGGATCTTTTACTTTCGCTTGCGACTGATCTAGGCCGCCGGGGGGCCCAAAGGCGTACAATTGTGTTGCGTTTCGTGTTAAAAAAGCTGCGTCTGTGCAGCAGACCATAGATCCATTCTGGTCTAAGGAAGGGAGGCATGGCTCCGTGCCCCCCCCCCCCCCCTCGCTTTGGACCTGCCACTTGTGATGATGAGTTTTGTGCTGAATATAACGAACATGAGTTTGCTGGGAGGCACTGGTTAAAATACATGTAAATCACTGGGGTACATTATGAGAATGCTGGACGTTTTAAGGTAATTCAACCAGTACCTTCCGGCATGTTGGAAGGTCAGTCATTTTCCGCATAGGAACCCACAATCCCGAAAAATCAATAGTTTGAGGCATTTCTCGCCGGTGTGAAGTAACGCTGCACCTTTCATTCGCCCATCAGGCGGTAGATTTTCGGGCTGCATCTGGTACCATTGAGCCACCTCATACTTGCTCCGGTCGCGACTCGACGTGGCCGCGGTATGTTGCGTGTCCTGTGTGTCGTTGTGTGACCACGTGACTATGACCGCCAGGCCGCCGCCGTTCCCGGCACAGCACGTCCGAGCGCTCCTCGTGCGGCGAGCGTCACCTCTCGCACACCGACTCTTCGTGCAGCACACCCCAGGTGAGAGGCGCCGGCCGCCGCACAGCCGCCGGTGAACGGGCGGCGCCGGCCGGTCCAGCCCTGTGAACAGGCACACTCTGCCTGGGAATGTGGCGTCGGGCCATGTGCTGTGTGCGGCAGAATAGAGAACAGTCCTGCCGTGGCCGCCTACGTCTGCGCACACCCGCGCGGCAGTGCTGTGTGCAGGACGGCTGGGCGCAGGGCGGCGCGTCTACGGCGTCCGTTGCGCGCGGCATGGGACCTCTGATGTCTGTTGTGTGCGGTGCAGAGCCTCAGATCGGTGGCCGCTGCGATAGGGATAAGATCTCCCAGCTTTGCACAACATATCTGGGCGGTACCTGCGGTGGGCGGGTTGGGGCCCCTGAACGATACCCACCACGTGCAGGATGAGATACCCCGGCTATGGCTTCTGTGTGCGGCAGAGCACCTCTGAGCGATGTCCCCTGTGTGTGATGCTGAAGCGCCACAGCGGGCCGGCTGCGCTCTGGACGGCACCTCTGAGCGGCGTGTCCTAACACGGAGCACCTCTCGCCAGGAGGTGTGCTGGTCACACGGTGCGGGAGATGTGCTGCTCACATGTTGCGGGAGATGTGCTGGTCACACGGAGCCGGGAGATGTGCTGGTCACACCGGGATTGGCGGGGAGATGTGCTGGTCACACGGGGCGGGAGATGTGCTGGTCACACGGGGCGGGAGATGTGCTTGTTCACACGAGGCGGGAGATATGCTGGTCAACACGGGGCGCCTCCCGCCAGGACATGTGCTGGTCGACACCGAGTTACATGATGAGCGAGCCGCCGGCCGGCATCATGTCGCCGGTGGCGCTGGCGCCGGCCCACTGTGAGCCCTCACTCGCCCAGTCCCCGCTCGTCCAGATGGGCTCGCCCACCGCCGCTCAGCCCTACGGCATGCACCTTGTGGGCTCGCCCATCTTCTCACAGCAGGTGTGTTCAGTAACGCGCTCAGGGAGGCGGCTGTCGCCGGAGCCAGACGATTTTGGTGGAAGGGAAGCCTTGCGGATGCTTTGACGACCGATGTTTTGGACAGACTTCGCGTAGGCTGGACAAGGTACCACCCCTGTATTTCACATGAATAGCCGTATTCGTGTGCGAGAGTATTGAAAGACCTCTTGGTTTACGGTCGAGTGCTATTTTATTCTTTATGAGCATGTGTTTTAGGTATTTTCGGTTGCAAATTGAATGGGATAGCTGCAGCAGCAATTACAGAATACCCTTCAGACGCGTCTCACTCCGGAGCGTACGCCCGTTGTATCCCCACCGGGGAGCACGAGCGGCCTTGTAGTCGTCGCCGTCTGACGTGATTCCGTGCCGTGTCGGCCAGTTTCTGCCGCCGGGCGCCGGGCTCGGTCTGGAGCAGCGGCTGCACTCGCTGGCGCTGGCCGGCTCGCGCGGCTCCGAGACGCCGCCCGTGGCGCCGGTCATCATGAGCCCGTCCGTTCACGGCGCCGCGCCGGGCGCAGTTCGGCGCCGCCGACCCGGCCGAGCTGATGTACCCGCCGGCCGGTGGCTGGCACCTGGTGCCGGGCCCCGGCGGCGGGCCGCCGCTCGTGCTCTCGCCCGGCACGCCGCCCGTGCCGCTGGCCGTCAGCAGCCCCCAGTCGCCGTACGCGCCGGCGGCGGGTCAGCCGTACGGCCCGCCGCCGCCGCCTCCTCCGCCGCCGCCACAGCAGCAGCAGCCGCAGCAGCCGCAGCAGCCGCAGCAGTACTACGCCGGCTACGCCATGCCCGGTCCTTACGAGGTGCGTGGTGACGTCGGTGTGTTTCCAGCCGGGTGTGGCGCGTGGAGGCGTGCCGCGCGCGTGCCCTTTGCCTACACTGGGCTGGCTCGGACGGAAAAGTTTGCGCTGTGTCGGCGGTCGGGGTTTGGGGCGCACGGTGGGCCCACCGACAGATGGTGCGGGTGGTCGGCCGGTGTGCGCGTCACGCGCTGACGGGGCTCCGCCGCGTGTCTGCCGTCGGCTGGCACGGACGTCTGACCAGCCCGAGTTGATTGCAGTTGCAGTTGCAGTGGCGGCGGCAGCAACAGCTCGTGCACCGCCTCCCGTGCGTGACTGCGTCCGCCTGCTTGTGCAAATGCCTGACCACATCCATCGTACCCCTGCAGCAACAGCAGCAGCAACACCACCAGCAGCAGCACCAGCAGCAGCAGCGGATGGGGCGCGGCGCGCCGACCTGCCCGACCGCCATGTACCCGCTGGAGGTGATGCCGCCGGCGCCGGTGTTCGCCGTGGCCGAGTCGCCGGACCCCGGTGGCTTCTACAGCCCCGGCTCGGCCGAGGAGTCCGGCTACCGCTCCCGCAACGCCTCTCACTCGTCCAACAACTCCGGGGACGGCTCGGGTGAGTGGCCGCGTGCGCCGGGGTGACAGACAGCGGCCACGCTGGTGTGCGCTGTGTCGGTGGAGCCGTCGGACTTAATGGTCCCCAGCCGGGGGCAATGCGCTGCGTGGAATTAGTGTGAAAGACGTACTGGTGTACGTGCAGTGCGTGCCTGTTACCTGCTGGTCGTACCGTGTCACGTATGTTCTTGGATGCTGCGCCACAGGGCACCCGTGCGTTTTTCTCGATAATTCATGGGAGTGCGTAATGGGGGTATGTATGCGCTGGTAGACTGCTGTGGACGCGTGGCCGATGTGTGTCTGTGATCTGTTGGCGTGGCCGGTGTGTGCCCTTGACCTGTTGACGTGGCCGGTCTGTGCCCTTGACCTGTCGACGCGCCTGGCGTGTGTCTGTGACCTGTTGGCGTGGCCAGTGTGTGCCCTTGACCTGTTGATGTGGCCAGTGTGTGCCCTTGACCTGTTGATGTGGCCAGTGTGTGCCCTTGACCTGTTGGTGTGGCCGGTGTGTGCTCTTGACCTGTTTGACGTGGCCGGTCTGTGCTCTTGACCTGTTGGCGGGCCCGGCTGACCGACGCCTTTGACGTCTGCCGCAGTCGGCGACGTCAACTCGCCGCACGTCCGCAACGGGGCGCCGCGCCGCTGGCCGTCCCGCCGCGCGTCCGACGAAGGCAGCCGCAGCCGCCGCGCAACCTGCCGCCGCGGCTCAGCAAGTACTCCGGCCCGCCCGCCGCAGCCGCTGCCGCAGCCGCGGCCTCCCGCCGCCGCCGCCGCCGGCCGCGCCGCTGCTGTACGCCATGGCGCCGCCCTTCTTCTACCCGGCAGGCGCGGCCGAGCCTGGCGGCCAACGGCTGCTGCTGGCCGACAATGGCAGCTACTACCTGGCACCGCCGGCCGGGCCGCCGCCGCCGAGCGCCGGCTATTTCTACCTGCCGCCGCAGTACCCGTACCCGGGCTCCGGCCAGTAGGCGCGCGCCGCGCGCCGCCCGCCGCCGCCGCCCGCGCCCGCTTACGGCGGCTGCCTCCCCATCGGCCGATAAGGCCACATCATGTTATTCTTTTTAGGTGGTTTTGGGTGCGCGTATGAGGGACACATGGATCATGAGGTCAGAGCTTACTGTCGCGGCCGGCGTGGTTAGAATTCGACTCAGGTGCCTGTGCTGTTGTGTGCGCAGGCGCGCGCGCGGTCCCCGCCAGGGCTCGCGTCTCCGCTGCCCGCGCCGTCTCGGCCGCCGTTTTAGGGGTAGCTGAGCTCGGCGACAACTGCCACTGCCTTGTAGTTGACGGCGACCTGCCCCGTTCGTCCCGCGTTTGCCGATGTGCTGTGTGCTTCGCGGAGATTTGCGGGCTCATGCAGGTGCAGTTTTAGTGTGCCACTGTGTCTGAAGGTGAGGGACGAAATTGAGTCGCCCGACCCAGTTAAAGTAAACCGGGGGAACACGTTAAAATTTCGCCGTCGTTACCAATATTTTACAGGACTGCTTGAATGAGTTTTAAAAAGCTTCCGGCCCAAATCGCGGATCCCATGCATTTTACGCCGGTTTCTGACGCTTTTTAGCCCGTCAGTATTGGACCACTAGGGAAGCACTAACCCACAATCAAGCATGAACGGAGCGTGGTGTGAGCCGTCCGGCCGTGCACCGCTTTGGCTGACCGCGGCGGCCGACTCCCCTGGCCGCCGCTCACCCAGCCGCCGGCGCCGCGTCTGTCGGCGACCCCTCTGGCCTGGCTCGCGGTGCCCGGTGTCCGATCATGTGGGCTGATTGCTGGCGCGCCACCCGCCTCGCTCCCTGTGGCGGCTTGCTCGGCCGCCCTGCAGGCGGACGTGGTGCCTTACCGGCGCACAGCGGGGCATGTCCAGCGTGGCCCGCTGTGGTCCCGGCGCTGCGGGGTGCGCGGCCAACCAGGCGGCACGCGCAGCTGGTTCTCTTCTTACGTCTCGATCATTTTAGATGATGGTATTTTCCCGTGTTTCACGTCCGTGGGATTTCGCGGAGTCCAATTTGGCTTCCGGCTTGTTGAGACCGCCTCCGCTGGGCCGCGGTGGAAGCTGTGTGGCCCTGCTCAAATAGTGCTCCTCTTTGCAGAAGTAGCGGTATTTTGACAAGTGTCTCATTGTCTGGCTTGCTCGGACGTTGGGGCCGCATCCCACTTCCTGTCCCTCCGGCGAGAGGTGTCCCCCCGCCTGTCCCCACATCAGTGAGCTCACCCAGCGCCGAGCCGCGCGGAAACGTCCACGCACCCACAGCAATCCTGCCGTAGAAGTGACTGGTCTGACCGTCCGGGTGTCCGGCTGGTCACACTTCCGTGACGGTGTAGCCCAGCCCCATGTAAGGTGTCTGCATTCAAGCCTCCTCCCCGGGGGCGTTCCGCGGCGCACGCCATCTGTTGCCGACCGGTGACATTGGATTGGGCCTTTTGTCGCGCGCGCGCGCGCGCGTGTGTGTTAGCTTGTGGTGGCTCACGTTCAGCCAAGTATGTTTGCTATGATCTGGTGGGGCTGTCGGCGGGCGCACTGCCCGTCCCGCAATCAATCAAATGACGCGGCTGGCGGCCGGTCTGAGGGGTCCCAGGCGGCCGGTTCACGGGGTCCCAGGCGGCTGGCGGCCGGTCTGTGGGTCCCAGGCGGCCGGTTCACGGGGTCCCAGGCGGCTGGTGGTCGGTCCGTGGGGTCCCAGGCGGCCGTGGTCGGTTCGTGGGGTCCCAGGCGGCTGGCGGCCGGTCCGTGGGGGTCCCAGGCGGCCGGCGGTCGGTCCGTGGGGCCCGGCGGCCGGCCCCTGTGGTCACAGGCGGCTGGCGGGATCCGCGGAGGCGGCTGCTGGCTGGACTCGCGCGGAGACGGGTCCTCGCTGCGCTGTGTGCAGCCTACCTCAGCGGGGGGATGGGGTGGGGGAGGGGGTGAGCGTGTGCGGGACGCCCGGGTGGCAGGAGCGGGGTGTTGGTCGTGATCTTTCTGCGGCCGGTACATCGCAGTGGCTCGTCGCACACGTTTTTGTCCAGTTCGCTCCGCACGACGTTTGGGTATTTCCGAGACTGTGTCGTTCCTTTGTTTTTTTTTTGTAGTTCTTTAGAGGAAGCATTTATGTTTCGTCCGTGGGCGTGTCTGTGTATATATTCGTATCCCGCTTGGCGTTAAGCCCAGCGCCGTACTTTATCGGCGAACCTTTGCGTGACGTCACTGGGTGTCGGTGGTTGTGTTGCGGCCGTGTGGCTGGGTGCGGGTGACGAGGCGGCTGTGGTTTGTGAGCGGATTGGTCGTGATGTCAGGCTGTAGTGGGGACGTGCTGGTGGGGCGGGATCGACTGGCGCGCGCGGGTGGCGCCTCTGTCGCCGCCCGGCCATCCTGTCAGCGCCGCAATAAAGAACCATGTTTTCTACTGTGGCGTTCGCTATATGTGGTCGCGGCGCGTGACTGGACGGAAGGCGCGAGCGTGACGTCACTTCGCCACAAACTTTCGAAAAGATCAAATGAGTCATCAACTGATGAAAAATGCGAGTCAGTGGATCAGCTTCGTTGCCTTACTCAAGTCAAACCTAGCAATGAACGCCAGGAGCGGATGAGAACCAAAGGAATAGTAGTCACTGTAGATAACTTGGTGGGCCACTAGACATCCGACCAATGCGGCCAGCGTCGGGTCGGGTCGGGTGGGGTCACGTCCCTGAGATCGCCCAGTTGCAACTTGTCAGGGACATACAAACTTTCAACGCATCGTTCAACTGTAATAGCTCTGTTCGGTGCTGGAACACATTCTTCGACAATAAGCTATGTGTGGCAGGCACTGATCCCAGAGCCATCCTTGCCAAATATTTGATTGAGGTTATCTCGCAAAACCGGGTCACGAGCCGACGGAAATGTGCAAAGTCCCGAGCAGGGGCGCTGCAACTGAGGCGTGGATGGCCGTCAGCTGACGTTACGCTCATGTGTGCGGCAGGCTGGCACTCAGCCGGTTCCGTGCCCGACCAACGCTTTCGCCTTAGCGCGCGGGATGTTCACTGCCATCAGAACAGACGGGAGAGGGGGGGGGGGGGGTCAAATTACTTGCGCGTCCGTTAACCCGGCACGAACACAACGGTCTGACTAGAGATAACTCAATGTCAATACTGACGCCGAGGGGTGTGCAGCACAGGCCAAGAAAAGATCCAACAGTGGGAAATGTTGCACATCGAAGGCGCGATATAGCCTAGGATCCAGCGCATTTAAGCCACAAAAAAGATTACAGTATTGGAGCACCCAATTGCTGTGAGAGCACCATGCTGACGAGGAAAACATCAACGGCATCCGTCGATTGGCGCTCATTACGGTGTCCAGGGTGAGACAGTGAGGCAATTTAGGGCCGTGTTACCACACAATCAGCGCGTGATGTTCGTTTTCACACCAGGCACCGCGGCATAAGTTGACGACCTGCCACTCTCGGTATTCCTCAGCTCGACTGGACTGTGGTCTGCATATTTGTAACATAACACTGGTTTCCAAGCGTAACATTGCTCACCTGTAAACATGTGCTCACGATGGCGTAGTGATGCCGTGAAATTAGCACGGGCAACCGGCTGCGGATTGGCGACAACCAGGGAATAATGCTACAAACTATCGCAGGCCTGTTCGAGTGAGTTACGACGAAGTCGTGCGCCGGATGCAGGCTAAGCAAGTCAGTTCTTCGCAGAGCCCGTACCCGGATGTTGTCCGTCAGTCGAGACATACGACTCGCCACGGAGCAGCGTTGGTCGGACCTGCAATCTTCGCATCGCTCTTCCCGCCGTCTCATCCTTCTTTGACATCATATGGTTTGATTTTTCCGGTTGAGAATATTGGAAGGAGCCCAAGCCAGCGTTGGGGGGAGGGAGGGGAGGGGCAACTCAACATTAGGGGCATACGGCCCCACAAATGGATACTTCTTTGTATATACCTAAAAAGTGGCATCACGAAGGAGGTAAAGGTTAACGGCGCATCTGAGACGTATTTTTCGTGCGCAGGTTATTGCCTTGAATGACCTGAATTCGCTTGAGACCAAGGCTTTCATTGAGGCCGTCGATGTGCAGGGCGTGGAATGTCCGGGTTCCTGGAGACGCCACGTCGGGACATGATCTAGATTGAAGCAAAACATGGCAATGCCTGTAGAGAAGGTTTCTGTTCATACGCTGAAGCCTGTGACTAGTGAGGACAGTTTGAATAAAGAAGCGTCCTATCTGCTGTCGTTTGAGGTTAGTCCAGATTATGTTACATATATACCAAAATGTCTTAGACACATACCACATGGTGATTTAGTTAATAGCCAGCCTTCAGTGTGGGGCAGACACTTCACAATATTCTCATGGTACCCAGGCCATGATGTGTCTTGTGACTTTTCAGACCTGAAACCAGGAAATCTGTTAGGTGCTTGTGCTGACCTGACATGATCTTGCAGTTTAAAATTGACCAAAGTATGATTAATTCTAAAAAGATGTTTAAAGATAAAAACTCACAATGTGATCAGCAACACAACTATATCTTAAGTGGTCTGCCAACTGGCATGCAGCACTTCAATCAGAATCATGGGTGTACACTAGGGTGTAACCACTGGAGGTTGGAGACATTCACTCACCCCCATTTTTGTGGAATTGGTTTTTTGTTACCCTTCATGACTCTAGGCCTGACTTTATGAAATTGTCTGATGCTGAACATGCACATCATAATAGTAGCATCCAGCAGTGTTGTGACCACAATTGCAGCACAGGCATGCAGTAAATTGGAGAGCTCTGAGTGTGGCACATGGTTGGTACCAGTTTCAGGACAGCAAGAGGCAGTGTTTCAGGAAATCATGATCTGTCAAAGATAGTCACAGTTAAAAATGCTCAAAATATTTTTGCATTGAAATAATTTGAAAATTCAGCACAATTTAACTCAGCCTGATTTTGGTGCAGGTAAGGGTAAAATTCAGTACACTTATGCTGAGTCAGTGTTATGTGCAGTGGATGCATTTTTGGAGACTGG